CAGCACAGGTATGTGTCAGTCCTGAGAGATCATGTTAAACCTGCTGATTTCCTTTCTTGCTTTCTAGTTAGCATCTTAGAGTTTGGCAGCTTTAGTCACCATCCCTGGAAGTGTTCAAAAAACATGTGGATAAGGCACTTGAGGACATGGTTCAGTGGTGAACATGGTGGTGCTGGGTTGGACTTGATGATCTTAAAGGTCTTTTCCAACCTTAAAAATTCTGTGATTCTATGATATTCCAGTGCACTTAAGACCATTCTTCCTTTAGAAGCTCAGACCCTGTGGTTGTTGCTGAAAAAAATAACCCTTGAATGATATTAGTCAATACTCACAATTACCTGTGGTGACTCGGCTGTCACACTACAGCAGCTATGTTGTTTTAGAACTAATTTTAAAAAAATATGATTATGAAGTGCTGGGATCACCATGGCCCCTGACATTCTTGGGCTGTTTTCTACTCAGGACACGCTGGCCTATGCCACAGCCTTGCTGAACGAGAAGGATCAGTCTGGAAGCAGTAACGGGTCAGAAAGCAGTCCAGCCAACGAGAACGGGGAGAGGCACCTGCAGCAGGTAAAATAAGGGCAAGTTTACTTTCTGTTGTGTTGCTCTGCTGGTTCCTAGGGCTCGGCTCAGAACCATCGCTGACCGTACACACAACAAAAGTAACGTGCTGTATCTTTCTCTCCCCATCTCTTGTGTGTGTCAAAAGGGCTCAGAGTCTCCTATGATGATCGGTGAGCCCAAAAGTGACCTTGATGATGTTGACCCATAGAGGAGATGCCTGTGGACACAAGAACAGATCAACCTAAACATTTAATGCCTGGTACCTACTGGAACTGGAGTCGTGTTGCTTATGCCTGGGAGAGCAGTGGCTTTACAGGACCAGAGGCAATGCTGGAGGAGGTTGTTTCCCTGAAAGCTAAAAGCATTTTTTAGCCATGAAGGCTTCAGATCAATAAATGCTCTAGAAAACTGCATCTTCACCTGCAGTAGCTTGTGACAGTCCAAACACCGAAAACAGTGTGTCAAGAAGATTTTATCAAATACACAAACGCTAGTGGTTGAATTTTTATGTGAACATTAAATGAGTGAATGTAAAACTGTTGCTTTTCTGTGATGCTGCAAAAAAATTCTTTTGGTTTTTATACAGGAAAAAAAAAACAAACAGACTGTCCTTATGTATGGAGGGCAAATTTTTAATCTTTCTGATAATATTGAATAGGAATATTCAAATTTCTGTAAAGATGTGTGATGACTTACATTTCATTGTAAAATATTAGTTAAAGAATGGGTTTACCTAAGGACTTCTGTATTTAATATGTCTCCCTGCTAATTTGTAAAGCTCTTGATGAGAAAGATCAGCAAGATTGCTCTATAAGAAGAGTGATTCCTTATGGAATGGTTTGGTTGAGGAACTCTAGAAAGAGTCATCTTTGCTGGTATCCTTCTGAAAATCCTTCAGACAACTGGGAAGGGCAGTAAAAAAAAAGCTTTGTTCTCTAGGTATGCAAGCATTTATTATTCAAGGATGTTGGTGAATTAAAAACAAAAAGAAGTTAATGAGTAGTTTAAAAGAAAAAAGCACTTTAAGAAGGAATTCTGTTGCAGTTTTACTCATTAAATTTTTTTAACCTTTGGAGACATATTGAATAAAATGTAGTCTCAGTCATGGATCTGCAATCACTTGCTTATGCTTTGAAATTACTGAGAAAGTTGGTATTGGTTGTATATGATGAATAATTCCTTGAGTGAGCTGGGAACACTGTTGTGCAGATTTTATAGCAATTTTAACATGGGGAAAGAATGAATTGGCTTTATATTTTCACTTGACCAGGCAACGTTTAAAATATCACAGCTCTTTTAATTTGCTCACAAACAACTGGAAACCAGTTGGGATGATTTGAGCACAGTTTTGTTTTCCATGTTAAGTGCAGTTCAGTGATTTCTGGCTCTGGAAACAAGCTTCTTTTGTGCCAACTAACTTCATCTTTTGTACATTTTGCGTTTGTCACATTTTCTGCACTGCTTTTTGCCTTTATTTATGGATTCTGCCTTACTTTAAAGAAATTATATAAACAAACATGCACAGAAATGGGGGACATCTTAAGGAGTGCCTGGGTACCTCCAGAATAGATAAATTTGCCAAGTTAAAGGCACAACCAGCCAAAAAGTGCCTTTTTTGTTTCTTTTTCATGTGCTGTTGCCGAAACACGAAGCAGCAGACAGCTTTTCACTGTTATGCACTAATATTGAAAGTAACCAGTCATTTCACTGTTGGAAGTAACCATCAGATCTGATGTCAGCTGTACAGCTTTCTAACTTATTGTGGGGTAAGAGAGCCGTCGTCACGAATTGCACGTGCAAAGTAAGGGTGGCATTGTAGTGAATCTCTCACTTTCTTTTCCAAACAATGTCTTCATAGACACATGGCAGAGTTAGCATTTTATAAATGTTTCTGAAAATGTGCTGGGACATTTTAAATGTGATGTTTTAAATTAATTTTGAATAAATCATTTCTTACAGACACCCCTTCTTCCTTCCCCCCATCCCTAATACATTGTTAATGGCTCATAAATCTCCCCAAGAAGTCAGTACACAGCGGTGATGGTGATGGAAGAAGCTGATAATGTTCCTATGGGTTGGCATCACTTGTCACTTCAGGTTCCTGTTATTTCCTATGGAAACAACATCCTCGATACCCGCAGGCCCAGGGAAGCATTGATGGGAATTGCATCAGGATGGCTCATCACCACTGTATACTTGAAACCAATACAAACTTTTTCACGGTTCTGCTCACGCTTGTACAAAGTCAATGGTTATCATTTGCAATAAGATGATACTTGGTCAATTATTTTTGTTTCCAGCTGCTGTCATTTGAACCTGCTGAAGATTATTTTTTGGAAAATAGAGTTCAACAAAAACTAGTTTTTGTGTAAATTGTGATGCATTTCTATGTTGTAATTTTTACTGCCAATCTTTTTGGATGAAAATGTTTTTATACAGTTTACAAAATGTTCAGTGAGGAGCAGCCACATCCTGGCTGTGAGCACTCTGGGGGAGATATTGTCCGATTAATGCATAGACATTTGGCACTGGAAAAATAGGCAGTCTTGATGAACAGTCTTGGGATTCCTGGTCAATGGAATAAAGTTATTCCTTTCACAGAAAACTAGTGTAATCTTTAGACTGTGCACACACTGCTGCGCTCTTGTCTTGTTGATCCTCTTACCTTGAAACTCCTTAGGTCAGCCCTGCAGATGATAAGCCCTGAGAGGGTGCCCTGATTGCCATTTTGGCTCCTGTCCAGAGTAAATGGAAGCAGCTGAGCAGCCACCAGAGCTGCACGCTGTGTATCCATGTGCTGGTGCACTGTCAGATTTGTATCTCTGAGCAGCTCCTCCTGACCTTCTTAGCAGAATGATTTACCCTGGCCCTGCTCACAGTCGCAGATTAGAGCGGCTTTGGTGTGTCAGATCCCAGATTTGTGGTTGATCTGGATGTGCACTCATCCTGCATCTTCTGTGGGGGCGAGGGGCAAAGCTGGACATGCAGCAGTGCCACGGAGCCGGTATTCTCCTGCTCCCCTGTCTGGGAAACCAGGAGCTACAGCCTGGGCTGCCATCCCCACTCTGCCTTCTGACAGCTGCCTTTGTCCTCTGCTCTAAGGACAAGGACTTTTACCTTTCCAGCATGACCCAGCCAGTGCTTTCCACTGGCAGTCCTGGAAGTATGGGTTGAGCATTGCAAACTGCTGCCAGGACTGCCCACAGCATCCCTGGGATCAGCACTGCTCTCCTGAATGTGAGAGGCTTTTCTGCCTACCCAAGTACGAGACGCTAAGAGCTAATCTTTTAATATTGTTTCCTTCCACCAGGCTTATGTATGCTTAAACTAAGCTGGGAAAACTCTATCTGGCTTATCATGCATGGAACAAGCTCACACCTTCTGCTGGATCCTCCCCTCTTGCAGGGAAGTCAGCAGAGCTGAAATATCTGGTGCATGTTTTGAGAGGTTACAGCCTAAGGAGTCTGCTGAAAAATCACCTGCTGTGTCAAAACTGTCCAGGAGCTCTCAGGCTGACATCCCTTTTTGTTTTCTGCCTCTTTGTGCAAAACTCAGGTTTTAGCTGATGAAGTTATGGGTTGTAATTATGTTCATGACATGTAATTATATGTTTAGATTAGGGTTGGGCTTTTGCCAGCTTTAGTTAACAACTTAGTTTCAACCTTTCAAAGTGGTGCTTTGTGCTGGGTCTGTCTTCTCTTGCCAATTAAAGCTGGAGCAACAGAACTGCAAGGTGCTTTTTGGATGGGGAAAACACCCAAACCACCTAAAGTTTGACAGGTTAACCTGGTGCTTGTGGTATGAAGCTTTATTTTTTTCATCTGTCCTCAGGTAACACCACATAAATTATACATTGTAGTACCAGGAGACTGTTAAACACTGAAAGAAAAGTGAGACCCAGCTCTGGTGGCTTCTGGTGCTTCTCAGCTTTTCCCTTCTGTGTGCATCAATCCGAGCCAAGCTTTGTCTTTGTTATGGGGCTCCACCACTTCCCCAGTGAAGCCCAGTGTTAGTAACAACAGCAACACAAGCACAAGGGCTCGTTCCTCAAAGCTGGGTGGTGTTTGTTTCCATAACTGGAAGCTCTTGCCCTACTCTGTGTTGTTAAAACAAACTTCTGTTCTTGTGTGTGTGTGTGCGCGGGACAACACGACTCAGTCCCTGCTCCCAGTGCCACTCCCAGAGCTCCGCCCAGCTGTGGCAAAGGGAGGGGACCTGTGCTATTTGCACTGACCTCTGAGTGTGCCAGCACTTATCCAGGGACACCTTTTACCCCAGGCAGGGATCAGATCTGAGGTGAGGGCCTGTGGCTGGCTCACTAACAAAGCAGAGCTCTTTTGGAGGAGCAGCATCCCTGCTGGATAGGTACCAGCTCCCCCTTCCAGACTGGTTGCCCATGGGGATGTACATGAAGTCAGACAATAGATCATATGAGCACTGGTCTATGAGTTTTATTTTAAAAAGACATTTATAAAATGTTTATTTATAAAATTCCAAATAAATATTTAAGGTACAAATGTAAAAACCAAGGTGCTATGAAAGCTTTTTCTTCTCTCTTTTTTTTTTTTTTAAGGAATTACAGCCAGTTCTATGTGTCTTGGGGACCTGAAAGGGAAACTGTTAACACACAACACCAGCAGATCATTAACTTTGACTTAACAACAAAAAAAAAGCACTAACGAAGCAGTAGCTGACTGTAGCAATGCAGATTAAAATCTAATTAAACAAGCAGACTGTTTAAACTACAGCCCTTACACTTGACTCAAAACTAAAGAAGTCTCCTAGGAACACGAGTAGGCAATTATAAAACTGCCCCAAAATGGCTAAACTAGGATTTTCCAGGTGCTAAGCAGCGTTAGCTGACAACTAATGAGCAACTACAGGAAATAAAGGAGAAATCCTCACCACAGTATTTTTTTCTTTAAAAAGGTACTAGTTTGGTCATGTTGGCTGACAACACATGGCTTGTACAGTCAGGGTGTTTATAGAAGGACCCGGCATGTGGCAGGGAAAGGATTCTGTGTTGACTCCAGTGATGAGACAGGGCTCCAGATGCACAGGGCCTGCATTGAGAGCTCCTGCCCTGGATCCCGACCCTGCTGTGTGTGAGAGGGTGATGAGCTTGTACCCCACCATCACAGCATCCCGAACACAGAGATTGTCAGCAGCCACATGTTGGAGCCTGGACCATGCTGGGAGCAGCAGCTCAGCCGTGGGAAGGTCCTGAGCAGGGGATAGGGTGGTCCAGCACAGCACCCATCCGAGGTGTACTGGAATCACCAGGCCAGGAGAGCCACCAGCCCGTCCCTACTGCCGGCTCCGGCAGCAAGTGGCAATGGCCACAGTCTTGCTGGTGCCAGGAACACCAGCTACCACGCAGGTGTTGTCCATGGCATAGGCTCCTGTGGTGCCGGGGCTCTGGGAATGGGCGTTACAGCCCGTCAGTGTCCAGCCGCCATCACAGGACACCATCACCTAAGGGGGAGAAAAGGTCATCCTCCAAAGGCCACCAAAGGGACAGGGGCCTGCCCGTTCCTGGTGGTCCCCAGGACTCAGGGTGATGGGACTGGTGTCACCCAGCTGGGTGGGCTGTCCCATTACAGGTTAGCAACTGGGGACATCAGTGAAGGCTGGAGATGGGACAGCCATCAGGGTAGCAGAGGAATAAGCAGAGACAAGGACAACACCCCAGTGGAGGAGTGTTCCCCATCCCTACCTTCTCCTCAGAGCCCAGGGACGTGTGTTCCTTCACTTGGCACTCAAGACTGGCAGCGGGGCAGCACAAGGCCTGTGCCACTACCTCTGTCCTGCCTGCACAGCGGCTGGGCCTGCTCCCCAGCCCCGTGACAGGTCTGGCACCATCACCCAGTGCCATGGAGGGGGAGTGGAAACTGCACCCTGCCAGGGGGAGAGGATCTGTCAGCATGGGGCAGCCATGGCAGTGTCCCAGTGCACACACAGGTGCCACGGAATGTCCTGAATGAGACCTGAGCCTCGCCACCTCCATGCACACAGCACATGTACTCTTTCCCTCCACCCCAGCACCCACACCCACTCTTTTAACCCCCACTCTTTAACCCCAGGTCCCAGAGTTTTTCTGGAAGAAACACCCTTGGCCATCAGGCTCAAGGGTCTGTAACCTGCCGTGTCAGGCATTACCGGTCAGCACGTGGTCCTGTGGGGAGCACTTGGCCCCCTCAGCCGCGGAGGAGATGGTGTTGATCCAGCACTTGGCCCTGGGCCATGTGCAGCACCTGGCGATGGCGTAGACTCCCTGGCCCTGGAAAGCATTGTGAGCCACGCAGTGCTTCTGCCCATCCTTGTCCTGCAGCCAAGGCAGCACAGGGTGTCACTGGGGTGCTTGGGGCCTTCAAGGCTGGGGGGCACCCTGGGGGCAGTAATTCTGCCTCCACACACTCACCTCCATGTGCTGCCCCAGCTGCCTGCTGCTGTGGGAGAAGCTGGAGCAGCTGAGCATCTCCTCGGTGCTGGCACAGCGAGCCACAGCCGGGGCGTGCCGGGTGAGCCCCGACCACACCGAGCGGCAGTACAGCTGCTGCTCCTCTGCAATGGGTCCCATGGTGTCAGCGGTGGGGTGGACCCACAGTGACACCCACAGTGTCACCCAGTGCCCATGGCACAGACCAGGCTCCATCTTCCCCACCCTCTGCATGCAAACCCAGGCTCAGCCATCCCCGGCACAGCTCAGGGAGGGACATGCCCTGCCGACACGCCATTGCTTTCATCCCAGCATTTCTTTCTGGATGAGGACAGAGCTCTGCCAGGGACCCAGCAGGCAGCAAGGTCTTTACCTGCACCCAGCTGTGTGGGCAGCCCAGCCACACTGTTCGGTGTCTGGAGCCTCTGGTCCTCTGGGAACCACGTCATGTCCATGACATTCTTGGTGGAGAAGTGCAAGAGGCGCTGCCGAAGTTCAGCGAGGCTCATCTGGGGTTCAGCGCTAAGCAGCATGGCAGCAAGGCCTGCAAGAGCCCAGGGGGCTGCAGTGAGAACCAGGGGACATGCAGATATCTACACAACATTCCCTTGAGCAACATAACTCCAGAGAGACAGGAGAAGGCATCCCTGCAGCCCATTGCCCACACGCACGGGATGTGGGAGTTCTGTGCAGGCTGCAGCACCCGAATGAGACAAACATGCCAAAACCATGGCATCATGGCACACAAAAATGTCCCCAGCTGAGGCATCCCTGATGCCCTGCGCCTACAGGGACATGTGCTCAGCACCAGCAAGTGGAGGGCCAGCCCTTCCTGCCTCCGCCGGAGCCCAGCTCACCTGCCACATGTGCAGCTGCCTGCGAGGTCCCACTCTGTGCTGTGAAGCACGTGCTGCAGTCACTGGAGGCACCGATAATGTCGTCCCCTGGGGCAAACAGGTCCACACAGTGGCCAAAGTTGGTGCCCAGGATGCCGATGGAGGCGGGTTGGTCCTCACTGTTGGTGGCACCGACGGTGATGACCTGCCAGGGCAGTGACTGAGGGGAGCACAGGCAGGACAGGATGCACAGCCCCAGCCCACTCAGCTGACCTGGCACAGGAGGGAATGAGGTGGCACCATGTCCCTGCATGTGCCCAAGCCTCAGGGGACCCTCACAGCCCATACCTCTGACTCAGATGCAGGTGAGTAGAAGCAGGCATCGTCCTTGTAGTTGCCAGCAGCCGCGACAATCACTACCCCATCCTGAGCCATGCGCCGACAGCCGGCATTCAGCACACGGCTGTGGGCACCGGCCAAGGGCAGCACCACCACCAGCGGTGAGTAGGGCTGAGCCTCCAGCCTCATCTTGATGAACTCCAGGGCTGGGAGGGACAAGGCACTATCGCAGGAGGGGGACGAGGCAGGGGGCTCCAGAAGGGAACATGCTCCTCTCCAAGGCTTGGAGTGACTCACCGATGAGGGTCCTGCTGATGGTGCCCTTCCCCTGGCAGTTCAGCACTCGGAAGCTGTGGACGTTGGCGCCCGTGGCCACGCCGGCGTCACGCCCGTTCAGCACCCCGGCCACATGGGTCCCATGGCTGTTACACTTGCTGACCTGGAGCAGGCATCCCAGCTTCATGCCCCAGCCCATTGCATCCAAGCAGGTTTGCAACCCCACAGCATCCTCCCTGCTCCATCCCGCCTGGATTACCTCTTGCAACAATACCTGACACACACCTGTGCCCCTCCAGACTGCTTTCCCCAGAAAGGAGCCCTGCCCTGCTCAGCCACAGCTCCAAATAGACCACATGGAGAGCCCCTATATTCCCAGGACCACAACTCCTGCTGTTGAATGTCCTGCCCAGCATTTTGCCCCAAGCCAAGTCTCCCCCTTGTCCTGGGAAGTCCCACAAGCCCAGCCAGGGTTTGGTGGATGCAAGGGGGATGCTCTTGCCAGAATGTAGCATGTGGCATCTCGGGGCTTACCTGCCTGTGGAAGTGGGTGCTGTCCTCCTCAGGGACACTCTCAAAGCCAGTCACAAACACCCTGCCCTCAATCTCCCGGTGGGTGCTCTGCACGCTGGTGTCCAGCAGATAAATCTCCACAAGCTCACCTTTATCTGTCAGGGATGCAGCCAGGGGGAAAGGCAACCACCACTGCAGTCAGCACAGGCCATCTGGCCTGCTCTCAAAATGCAGCTCCAGACCCACAGCACCATGGGGCAGGGGGCTATCCCCATCCCGCAAGATCAGGAGAGGGAATGGGGTCAGTGACTCTTCCCCAAACCCCTATGGTCACCCCTCACACCCCAGTGCTTACTGGGAGGGCTGTAGGTGCCTGAGTTGGGCTGTAGTGGCACGATCCTGCCCAGGTTCCAGGGAATGCTCTGGGCAAAGACATAGGCATCCTCCTCAATGTACTTCACATGTGGCAGCTTCAGCGCCTGTGGGGAGGAGATACAGTGCCCAGCGTGGTGGCAAAGCCCCTGTTCACCCTGAGGTGGGAACTGCCTCCCCCCACCAGTGCCTACCCCTGCTGCTGCCCTGCGCCACGACCCTGTCCTCCATCCCACATACCATGTCCAGGACGTCGCTGCTCATCCTCACCAGGAAGGCGGGCAGGAGGTGGAAGACGTGCAGCAGCTCGGTCAGGTGTCCCCGCCGAGCCGCCCGGGCTCGCAGACGTCGCGCCGTGCCCCGCACCTCGGCCCCACTGCTGCCCTCCTGCAACACCACCATGTAGCGCCCGGGCAGCCTCCACGACGCCTGCGGGGACACAAGCACCGGGCTGGAGCTTGGGACACACACACACAGACGCGTGGCTGTCCCCTCATCCCACTCTCCTCACCTTGGCGGCGCGATGGAAAGCGACGGGTCCCGGTGGGGCGGCCCCGACGGCGGCTGCCCCCCCCTCTGCCGCCCCCAGCACCAGCCCCAGCTCCTCCGCCAGCGCCAGCACCAGGGCCAGCACCAGTCCTCGTGGGGACATCCCGCACCCGCGCCCCGATGGGCAGAGCCGGGGGGCGCCGCGACTCTCAGCGCCGGGGGGACGGCGCCGGCGGGGAGGTGCTGCGCGACCGCCGAGGGGCCGGAGCGGGGTTGAGGGGCTGGAGCGTGGCCGAGAGGTCGGAGCGCACCCGCGGAGCCGATACCCGGGGCGCACCGGCGGAGCCGATGTTCCGGAGCGCACCGGCAGGTCTTGGAGCGCAGCGGCGGCCGCGGCTCTGCCCGTCGCGGCGAGGGCTTAGGTCGGCGGGGCGGGGATCACGCCACGGCCGCCGGCCCCAGCGGCCCACCCGGGCGCGTTAACCACTAACGGAGCCGCGGGAGGGGGCGCGGGGCGCTGGGTCACGGCGCGGGGGTGCGGGGAGAGGGGTGGGGGGGACGCTGCTCACCCCGAGTCCCGGCGCATCGCTGGGGGCTCTGGCGAGCAAAGCGCAGCCGCTCAAGGACTAATTTCAGAAAGGGCTGAACGCTTTAATGTGCCTCCTACTGCTTCACTCCAGGGATAAATTCCCATGAAAGCCTCTAATCCTGTTTGGGCATTTTTTACAGAGTCGTCACACATCTTAAATCTCCTTTTTGCGGGATGCGGTCGGTGCTTTCCCGTGGCTCTCTCGGCTGCTTCCCACCTCTGCCCTGCTGCAGCGCCAGGTTCCCACACTGCCCCGTATCCCCAGTGACCTTCGGCAAATCCTGTCCCCGCTCCCAGCCTTTCAGGAAAATAGGGATATATTTATTTTTGATTGGTTATTTATAAGCTTCTCAGAGCTTATATGTTTCTGTGAATGTACATGTTTTATATGGATGTGGATGTTTCACATGGATGTGTATGGTTTGTATGGACTTGTCTGTTTTATATGGATGTATATAGTTTATATGGATGAGTATGTTTTCTATGGATGTGTACAGTTTATATGATTTCTTAATGAGACCTCAAGTGGGTGCCTTCACCCTGGTTTGATTAACTGGGGGGAGACCAGACCCCACTTGTCACCCACTTTCCTCCACAGCAAGCTGACACTGGAAGAGTCAGTGTCCAGGATACTGATTATGGGGACAAGTCTCACTCCTAATTTTTGGCTCAGCTTCATCAGTGCCGCTAAGTCCCACAATACACCACTGGTGCCTTAGGACACTTTCAGGGCAACTGAAAACTGGGGCACCCCATCTCGAGGGGGACAGTCTCCCTTTCCCTGCAGTTGCTCCCTTCTGTTTTGCCAGGGGACAAGCTGTGTCCCAGGGAAGGATGGAAGGAGCCCAAATAGTAGGAGGTGGCAAAGGCCCTCCAGGCCCACACACACCTGGACGTGCTGAGGAACCCAGGGAGAGCTCGGCATGAACACCCAGCCCCAGAACTGGATTGAGAGTGTGAGAGATGCCCAGCTCTGGAGCTCTCTCCAGGAGTAGATATCTGCAGAAAGATTATTTATTTAATTGAAAAAAATATTCAGAAATAGCCCAAAACGTGCACCTTGTAGAGAAGAGATCTGATTTGGTCCTGGCACCCTGGGGTGCTTCCAGCAGCAGGATCACCGGCTGTGTCCGTGTACAGAGGGGGGCTCCTGTTGAGGGGGGAGGAAGGAGAGAGCGGAGGAGGCATCAGAGAGGACTTCAACAAGGGGGAAGGACCTGTAAATCCTTGTTGCACTCCATTCCCGGGGAGCCGTAGGGTTCGGGGCGGTGCGAGCCGGGCTCCCTCCCATCTCGTTGGCAGAAAAAAAACCACGGCACTTTCGCCGGGTGTTTCTGCGCAATTTACAGGAGCTAGTTAGTTTTCTGACACGGTGCCACAAATCAGAAAGGCCCCACAGACGCGTTTTGCACCAGCCGGGAATCGAACCCGGGTCGCAAGAATGGGAATCTTGCATGATACCACTACACCACTGGTGCGCTGATGTCACAGTGCCCCGCGGGCCCCAAGTGCACGGGCACCACCCCATCCCACGTGGCTGTCTCTTCTCCTCCTCCAGCGGCCCCCCGCCGCAGGGTCCCTGCGGGTGGGTGACACTCGTGGGCGGCGGGCCGGTGGTAATTCCTCCCCCCACCCCCAAAAACCGGGCCGCTCGCTTAATACCATGCAGGAATGTCCCGATTCCCACAATGTTTAACCTCGGCCGGCGCAGGAGCCGAGTCCTTCGGCTCAAGGATGCTGCGCCAGGGATGGGGGGACTCATCCAGCTGCGCAAAGGGTCCCGTGGGAGGGAGGGTCCAGGCCCCGTGTCAGCCCCCTCCCCTGCCCCATCGGAAGAAATGCTTTTGGAAAGTAAATTTCTTTTGCCAAAAGCGATAGTGAGTGCCAGGACATGAGATAGGACACCTCTCCTCTGAGGAAAGGCTGAAAGGGCTGGGGATGTTCAGCCTGGAGAAGGCTCCAGGAAGACCTTGGAGCCCTTTCCAGTAGAGGGGGTACAGGAGAGCTGGAGAGACATTTCTGACAAGGGCATGTAGTGATAGGACAAGGGGGAATGGCTTCAAACTGAAAGAGGGCAAGTTTAGATTAGATATTAGGGAGAAATTCTTTACTGTAAAGGTCGTGAGGCACTGACACAGGTTTCCCAGAGAAACTGAGGCTGCCCCGTCCCTGGAAACATTCAAGGCCAGGTTGGATGGGGCTTGGAGCAACCTGGTCTTGTGGAAGGTGTCCCTGCCCATGGCAGGGGGGTTGGACTAGATGATCTTTAAAGGTCTCTCCCAAACCAAACTGTTCTGTGCTTTTAGAGGCAAAAGCTTTCAGGTCTCTACCAGATTCCCACACTCCATAGGAGCCAGTGACACAGAGTGACATCCTGCCCCAGGCACCCTCTGAAACTCTGTGAGACATGGCCTCGTTCAAACAGTGTCCCTGCAGCTACCACACACCCCCACACGCTGGGAAGGGCAGGCAGGAGTATGTATAACCAATTTGTTATTGCTCCCTCCCAGACAGCTGCTCTCACTCCTGTGGCAATGTTTAGCCAACACTGGAGCCTCCATTCCCCACCCTCCTGTTGCCTGTAAATACCCCAAGTGCATAGGTCGAAGCAGCAAAACTAATGTTTTTCCTTCCCAAGCACAATATTTCTCCCAGATCCTGCCCAGCCCAGCTTCTCTGTGCCCATCCAAAGGGCTCCAGCGAGGGGGACCTTGTCCTATATGCTCTGGAATTCAGGAGGCAGCAGTCCCCCATCTGAGTTTTGGGGGAATGAAAGCCTCCAGAAAGGCTGAGTGTGTCCAAGGGGTGCAGAAGCCTTGGGGACCTTCTGTGCTGCAGGCACTGCGCTTTCGGGGGCATCCCCTTTCCTCCAGGCTGTGATGTTTGCATCCCCTCCATGAGATAAGTCCATGCCAAGTGGTCATTTTATCTGGGAAATCAGTTTTCAGGCTCAAAAAGGCAGTCGCTGTCCTTGAGCAGAGCATCCGGCTCCTCTTGGAGCCCATAATAAAGGTCATCCTCCTCCCCAGCGCCTTTGCGGGGGGATCCGGAGTGCTGTCCCTGCACCGGGGAGCTGGTCGGGGTGCAGCCAGAGCGGGCAGCAGATGGCAGAGTCCGGCTCTGTGGCGTGGGGGTGCCGGGCATGGAGCCCTCCAGTGATGGCGTGTCCATCTCCTCCAGGAGGGATGCCAGCGGCGCATCCCCTGGTGCCGGACGAGGGGGGCTGTGGGGACAGGGAGGGCTGATGGGTGGTGTGGGAGTTACACCAAACACAGTTGGGGTTCCCCTTGGAGCTGGTGACTGCTGGAGCATTGCTCAGCCAGCATCCCAGCATCACCAGTCCCCTTGCTGGGTGGCTGGAGCACCCTGGGAGCACACCATCCCAGCCCTTTATAAGGACACCTGCCTGCCAGATTCCTTCTGCCCACAGGACAAGGTGGTGACTGCCCTTGCCTTTCCTGCATCCCAAGCGGAAAGCAGTGCACCCAACCCAGCTGCAGATGCATCCAAGTCCTACACCCTGAGCCTGCATGGTTCACTCCATCACCTGCAAATCCCTTTGGGACCTCCCAAACCAGCGCTTGGACATCATGTGTGGCATCTGGTTTGCTGGTCAAGTACTGGGCATCTCTTTGCTACCACAGTCTGACCAGAAACTTGGGGTTTATTCTGGTGAAGAATGTTATTTGTATTGATAAAATTAAATTAAAGGAAAATGCAAATTACAACCAAAGTCCATCCTGATTTCTTCCTGGGAAATAATTTGGTACAGAGACTCCCTGTGGGTTGAGACACCATCCAGGCTCCACAGAGGCTAGGGGGTCTGGGTGCTCAGTGCTCTGTGAGCAGCAAAGACCCCTCTGCCTCCTCTCCCTCCCCTGGGAGGACGTGGTCTGATCCCCCCCATTTCCACCCTGCATCCCACCAGTGCCACCCTGATCCCAAAAGCATCACATACCAGCTGCCTGCCGCTGTTTCCAGATGAGGTGCCAGGTCTTGTGGAGGGTTTCCAGGACCCCCCAGCTCCTGGTGCACCTCTGCTTTGGCCTGCACGGCTGACTGGGAGCAGCTGTGGGATCTGGGCTGTGCTGTGGGTGGGAGTGGAGTTGAGCCCACTGCCTGCCTCTGGATCTGCTCATAGGATGGCAGGCTCTTCTCATAGGTGCTGGTGGCCTCTTGGTCAGGGCAGGGAGAAACCAAGCTGTGAGCAAAGGAATAACAGGGTGCTGAGCAGGACCTGGACCCCATGGAGCTGGAAGATCCTCAGGCACTTGCACAGAGGGCTCCATCAGTTGAGGGAGTGGCTTTAGAGGCTACCAAGGCCACATCACTCCCCACACCAGCAGCAGAGCCAATGGGTCCTTGAAGGGGATACCCACAGCTACACTGCCAGATGCTTGGCATCCCCCAGCATCACTCAGGCTCCAGCCTTGGGATGGCTCAGACATCCCTTGCCTGCCCCACCCGGGCTCCTGCTTGGCATTTTGTGCTGCAATCAGTGCAGTCGTCCCCAGTCTCAAACACTGCCCTCATCCCCAGGGCCCACCCATAACTCTGTGTACAGATTTTGGGACCCACCCGATGTCCTTCTGTGGCAGCACCGTAGGTTTGTGGTCCAGGAACCGCTCAGCCTCAGGGTCCACAGGAATGAATGTTATCTGGGGGAGAAAGGAAGGAAGAGCCCAGGGGCTGCGCTGGGCACACTCGACCCTCCTTAGTGGTAAAAGGGCCAGAGTGCCCCTTCAGCTGGGTTTAGGGTGTTTTCCCATCACATTTGGATGTCTTGATTGGAAATGGGCTTTTTTGGGCAAAATCAATAAGGGATGAATGAATCCAGCACAGCCCTTTTCCCCAGTGGAGTCACACATGTTCCCAAGCCCAGAGCAGGTCCCAGGGCCCACAGGGGAGGTCAGTGGTCAGGGACAACACTGAGGGTGCCCTATCCTTGAGCCCCAAGCACAGCAGCAAAGCCACATCTCCCTCCTCACTGGGGCTGAGCTCGGCTTTGGGGGGGAACTGGGATCAGCTTCACCCCAATCCCAGGAAACACAGCCAGTTTCAGAGGTCCCAGCTGGTCCCAGGTCCTGAGGTCACCATGCCACATTTTGGAGGGTAGCCAACTTGTTGACAGGCAGAGCCCATATCAGTGCCACAGCCACCCTCTCCTTTGAAAAAACCCTTTTCTGCTAGACCCATTTCCCAGGGCAGGAACGCATGGCTGCTCTCCGTGCCAGCAGTGCCCTTTGCCAAGGAGACTGGCAGGTGAGGGTTGGGCTCTGGGGGGCCAGGACCCTCCAACATCCTTGGCCTTGACAGTCCTTTCTTGGAAGTCCTGGGAGCCTGCCAAGCCTCAGGCCCCAATGAAGGGGCTAGTTTGGGAAGGGTTTGCATGGGAGAGACAAACACAAGTTTATTTCCTTGGGATTATTCCCTGCTGCCTGTTTGGAAGCAAAGCACCAGTCTCTGGGGTTTGAAGGGTGCGGGAGTACAGGGGGGTGAGGGACAAGGGGCTACATCCTGCAGGCATCAGCAGGTCATGAGCATCCCAAACCAACAATTCCTCCTCCAGATCACTCCAGCTGGCTTCCCCTGGTATCAGCTGCTACCTCACCCCATGGAGGGGGAAGTTGAGACGCAGCCCAAGGCTACACATCCACCGCAGCCGAAGCCCCCCAAACCCAGCTAAGCCCCCCAAAGCACTCAGCAGCAGGATGGATCCTACCTTTGGGTAGCACTGGCACATGCTCCAGGTGATGCCCACGGCTATGAGCAGCACACCCAGGACGCAGAAGGTGATGTAGATGTGGGGCTTTTCCACACTCATGATGAAAATCCCCGTCATCACCAGGAAGAAACCCAAGATGATGAACCCATAACGGAAGGTCTTCTCCTCCGCCATGGGCTCTGGGTGGGAAAGGCAGGAACGAGAGATGCCAGGGAGCCCGTTTACCTGCCACTGCTGCCCACTGAGCACACCTGCGGGATAAGGCAAGGAGTGGTTTCTCTTTCCGGAGGCTGCCAGGAGCTGAGGATCAGCTGCACGCTAACCTGGTCCTGCCCAGGGCTGAGCCAACCAGTTTTTAATGGGTTTGTAATGAATGCAAACACTGACCCGCCATTCACACTCCAGTGAAGCCGCCCGGCACGTGTCCGCATAACCTTCCCTGCGGGCACCCCATGCCTGGGGAAGGGACAGGGAGGGAGAGGGGGCCACGGCAGCGGAGACAGGAACCTGGAGAGTGGCTGATACTGTTGGGATTTTCCCAGCCCTGGGCACCGAAGCTGGACTTGGCCATAAACTGGAGCTGGCAGAGGCCCAAATAAGGGGCATATCAGGACGCAGTACGTTCTCAAGGGCTGCGGGGCTGCAACAGGGAAGGAGGGAGTGCTCCAGGGTCTTTCTGGAGGCCTATATGTTTGGAACATCCCTTATCTTTCTCCGGCTGAGTGCTAAGGCTGCTTCATTGGGCAGCAGGTGGGCTACAAAGGGGGTACTAAAGCCAGGGAAGTATGGAGAGGGGTTGGTCCTCCCAGGGGCAGTGAGGACAGAATATCCCTGTGCCCTGTGTTCGCTTAAGTTGGAGCTGGAGGGTTAGAAGGTGTCCCCTTCCCAAAACATATCCAACAGCCAGACAGTGTTGATGGCTTTAATTAGCCTTCGTTTTATTCCCTTACTTTCCAGCACATGTGGGAGCACATACAAATAATTATATTATAAACAATATGTTGTACGTGGCTATGGCTCCAAATCCACTCTGCAGCTCTGCAGGTCTGCAGGGAACCCAGGGCAGCCCATTGTTTTGGTGGGATGGAGGAACTGGCAGTAGCCCCCACAGCCGCTGGCCTTTCCTCTGGGCAAGGCTGCGAACCCACCCATGGTGTGCAGGGAGGGGGCTGTGTGCTCAGGATGCCGCCTGAAATGCCAAGTGCACTTGGATGCCCTGACTGCACACATGAGCCACTGAGCATCTCTACACTACATGAAGTCAGGCGTGGGAAGTCAGTACATTGGGAAGCAAGGTGGAAGGGAAGGAGGTAGGGCCAGAAGGGGCACTGCAAAGGCAGAGGAGCAAATGGGGCGGCACAGAGCTGGGTTTTCTCTGGTCAGATTCCTCATTCTCTGCTGCAGTTTTTGTTATTGAGTGGGCAGCCTGACAGGAGCTCCCAAGGATGGGCCAGAGCAGGGAACACAAAGCATCTGCAACCAACGGTGGTTTTATTAAAAATATGAAGGCTTTCAAACATGCCAGTTACCCCCAATGCTTTGAATGCATCACCCACAGGACCCGCAATCCCAACAGCCCTGGACTGATAGTTCAGAAAGCCTGGCTGACCCTTTCCCCTCCTCCCCCACCCTCCTCTCCTCCCCACAAAGGAAGAGGCTCAGTTTAAAGCTGAGGGACTGGGCAGCCACCCACAGAGTCATGGCCCTTGCTGCCCCCAGCTCAGACCCCTCGGACATTGATGTTTTCATAGCTGGGGGGAGGCGTTGCCTGCGGCTCCTCGGGGTGCAGGGTCTCCAGCCAGGATGGGCTGGGGCGGAACAAGGCGCTGTCGGAGGAGCTGCGCCGGCGGCCACCTTGCCAGCTCTCATCCTCCTCCAGGTAGCAGTACAGGGGTGGCGTGAGCTCCTCCTTCCTCCTCGGGGGCTGGACATAGGCCAGGGCACCGTGGGCAGGTCTGCAGGTCAGAGCTTCTTCATAGGTGGGGATGGCACTGGCATCCCAGTTGCTGCGAGGAAAGAAGAAACCCAGCAGTACACACCATCATCCAGAGCATCCCAGCACCCAACTGGAGTGTCCCAGCAGCCATCAATCAGAGCATCCCAGCACCCAATAACTGGACCACTCCAGCACTTGTCAACTGGAGCATCCCTGTGCCCTGTCAACCAGAACCATCCCAGTGTCCCATCAACCAGAGCATCCCAGTGCCCATCAATCGCAGCATCCAAACACCCCTTCAACCCAATCTAAGTATGAAGGACACATGCGCTGGAGACAGCACATCAGCAGGTTTTGCATGCCCAGGATCAAGGGATGACCAAGGTGGGGAGCCATGCAGGAGGAAGGGCATCATCCATCAGACCTTGTGACAAGGTCCTATAGGCAGAAGAGCACCTCCATCACCTGCTTAATCCCAAATTCACCTCTGGGTCACAGAGGCTGCCAGTAGCCAAGGGAGCAGTTTGGCACAAACATCTGGGCAAGGGGCAGCCATCCCGGTTCAATGCAGTCACACCACACTCTTGTGCCTGCCAAGCCTGGTTCACTTCCAGCAGTGCTTTGCTGAGCAAATACAGCTTGTGTACAGGGAAAACCTTTGGACAAACTTTGCCCTGTGCAGGGTCCTCCTTGGCACCCTATGGAACTGTGTAGCCCAAAGCCAGGGAGGCTGTGGAAGCAACTCATCGTTGCAGATGAAATCCAGCACAGTGCACTGGGGAGGTGGTGGGCATTGCAGAGCACAGCCGGTCCAAAGGAAAAGCTGCAGTGTTCCACAGGGGTGCCTCCATCCTGAACTCTTGGCAGCTCCCTGTCCCAGACAGACCACCCTGGGCTTCTGTGCTCACAATTTTGCCAAACAGCCTCAGTTTGCATGGGGATGTTGTCTTGGAAATGCAGAGAGGGGGATTTATCCCAGCACAGCATGCTTTGCTGGGGCTGGAGGAGCTGTCACAGCTGTGGCACTGTGTCCCATCCAGCGTGGAGTCGGAAGATCAGGGAAAGGGACATTCCCCATGGGGGCACAGCAAAGCTCTCCACGGGAGGTGAAACCTCTCCCCAGAGTACCCAGACTGGATCACGATCTCACAGATACTCAGATGGGCACTGAAACCCCAGGAGAACCAGGAACGTGCCTCCCACTCCAACTGAAATTTTATGGCTTAATGTTCTTAAGAGTTTCTTTTAGTGCTGCTTTTCCCTAGAGCCTGATTTATGCTGGAGCCAAGATCTTTGCTGTGACCCCATAAAACAGCACTGGGAAGGGCTGGCTGGCTCCATTTCCCCTGCAGTCTCTGGGGGAAAAAAAAAATCTTTTGAGCAAGAAACTTTTAAATCAAGAAGTGATCTTCACACTGGAAGAGTCTGGGGAACCAAAAAGCAGCAGTGGTGTTCAGGGTGAGGGGTCTTTCTACACCCCAAAATGGGCTTCGTAGAAGGACCCTCTAACAACACTCTTGATGCCAATCCAAGTATTATTTTCCTTAATTTTTTTGTTTTAAGTCCCTTTTAACACAGATTTGGCTTCCCTTAAAGATGGCATACACACCCTCATCTTTATACAGCATTGCAGACCTGAGAGACCAGGGCAGGATTCAACAGCCAGAGGTCTGAGTGACCTCCCCACCCCCAAATTCAAACCTTCTGCCAGAAAACCAATTTAGTCTTCTGCTTGGTAGCTCTGTTAAGGAGACGTTGCCTCCCTCTGCGATGGCCCTGCAGGGCAAGGAGAGCTGGATGCAGCCAAGCTGGCCGCGGGTGCAGCCAGCGTAGGCAGACAGGGGCTGGCAGGGAGGGGAGTGTGGAGGTTCAGGTTGACACTAATGAGCAAGAGCATCTGCTCAGGAGCAGGAGGAGAGCACAGACCGGGGTCTGAGCAGTGGCTGGCAGTGCGGATGCGTTGTTGCTCTTGTAAGCTCACCAGCAAGCCAGTCTGGGAGCAGGCTCAGGTACATGGGACAGCCAAGACCACCCTCCACTTCTGCCCACCCAAGCACCGCACAGGGACGTGGCACCCACCTGCAGTTCCACTTCTCCGGGGGCTCCGCGGTGAAGTACTGCAGGTCCCTGGGGAAATGGTACTGGTAGCGGCGGGAGACTACCCTGGTGTTGGCTTTCACGGACCAGAGGAGGCCGAAGAGGAGGAGGATGCCACCAATACCACAGCAGAAGAAGCTGACGGAGCGGAGCAGGGCGCTGGAGGAGGAGGAGCTGGGAACTGCCTCGGCTTCCCGGGGAGGCAGGAGGCGAGTCCCGCTGCCAGCCGATGAGCCGACCTCCCCATCACTCCACCAGGCAAAGCACAGCGTCCCCGTCACCAGCAGCACGGCCCCGGTGATGGTCAGGCCATAGCGGAAAGAGGCAGCTGCCATCCTTCAGAGGGAGGTTTTAGGAGGGAAGAAGGGCAAGACAAGGCATGAGAGAGCCCACGTCCTACAAGACAAGAAGGGGGCAAAGTTTGAGCAGGACAAGGTCATGGAAGACCTGCCAAAGGAGAAAATGACTGAGCTAGGACCTCTACAGGGAGTGCAGCCTCTTTAGCCACTGACCATCAGAAAGGGCATTTCCACCACCTCAGATGGGAAGCCCTTGGGCAGAGCAAAGGCAGTGCAGTTTGAACAAATAAATTTCCCAACAGCCTCGTAAAAACATCCCCAATTTCAAGATACAACACAACACTCCCACAGAGGCTGGGTGGGAACCCCAGCCAGGGCAGCTCTGGGGGCTTTCATAGCTCTTGTCTTTGGGTTTTATTCCAGATTTCCTCCCAAGCTTGGCAGAATGCCAGCTGGGTTTCTGATCAAAGCACGGCTTATGGAAGAGGTTAGGGTCAGCTCCAGTGCACACCTTCTCAGGTCCCTGTCAAGATCAGTGTTATCACCACCTTCACCCTTCCTATCACGGTGGTTTCTCCCTGCTGGGTGGCCCTTCTCAGCTAAATGTCACATGCAGAGAGCAACCATGCTACCCTGGTGCTGGAAAATTTGGGAAGGGAGACCTGGTTTCTGATCTCTGTGGGGCTCTCACTCTCCATTGCTTTTTCCAGCAACAGAGAGCATCTGCTCCCTGGGCTTGTGCATCCCCAGCTCCCAGCCAACCAACTAACTAGGGAGGCAGAGAGGTCCCACCACATCCCCTCTGACCCTGCTCAGTGCCCAGCAAGGAGATTCAGGTTCAGCTCCTATTTCTTGAAGGACAAAAAGCTTTGGACCATGTGGGAATTGAGCACCAACACCCCCAGTCAGATTCAGTCCTGAGTAACTCTACTGCGAGGGTTTCTCATGGTGGCAGTGCCAGTGGAGAGCCTGCACAGCCAGGATGTAATTGGGGCTCAAGCACAGAGGTGGATGGACAGATGGATGATCTACACTCAGCTATCACCTCTGCACTCATCACTTTGCCTGTATGTCAGTAACATGAAGATAATGTGGTGGCTTTGGTCTCCATTCTTCCAGGCAGGGCTCACCTCCAAGAGTGGGGACTTAAATTGTACTCTGAGGTCTGGAAGTGCTGAGCCAGAGACAGGCAGGGAGCAGAAGTCCAGCATGGACTTGATGTGATCAAGGTCAGGTGGAATCATGTTATTTCAAGCTATTATTTATCAGATGGGCCCACTAAATGGAAAGTCAAATTACTTTGTAGTGAAAGAAACACTATCTGATCTAATCTATGTTTAATGAAGGAATTGGATGAGAAGTGGGATTTGGGAAGCCAGCAGGAAAGCAGCACACTCCAGCTCTTGTCCCAGGGTCATAAGCCCAAATTGTCACTCAGGCAGCTGCAGTCACCTACTGGGAATGAGGTCACGTTCCTGGGGTGGGAGAAGACAGAGCTTCCACGCATAACAGGGGGACATGTTAGGATGCTCCCTCCAGAATGGCAGGGGATTGGCTGAGCTGAGACAGAGCAGGAACTGTTGGAGATGGTATTAGATGCTATTAGGGATCAGCATCCCCACCCCACGACTGAACGCAAGCAGGACACAACAGAAGAATTGGACTCACGTTGCCTTGCAGCAGGAGATGCTCAGGGGAGTGCAAGGACGCTACTGACCCATGAATGCAGCTCCTTTGGAGAGCAATGCATTTTCATGGAAAAATTTCAGCCAATATTATTTAAGGAAAAAAACATGACCCAAAAAACCCTACAGCAAAGCTTTCAACCCAACTGCTTGGAAATGTCAGGTCACTCCAAACTGAAAGCCTGGATTGAACCAGCACCAAGAATTGAAACGTTCAACTTCTGCAACTTTTCTCATTTTGGGGTCAGACTGGTGAGGTTTGGGAGATGCTGTGAGCTCCCTGGTGAGGTTTGGGAGATGCTGTGATTCCCCTGCCTGGGCACAGGGAATTTTGCAGCCTGCGGCACTGTGCACATCTGGGAGCGCTGGCAGCAAGGGGGAGGCAGAGGGAAGGCGGAGAGCCTCTGGGAGGTGATGGATTGACAGCTCAAGAGAATAAACTCTTCTCTCTTGACAAAACCAGCACAGCTCGGGGAGCAGCGCTGAAAGCTCCTCCAAACTACCCACATGTGCTCCCGCAGCACGTGTGTGGGGGCAGCTCCTCTGAGCTGGGTGGCACTACCATCACTGGGTGACATTGCCGCTGTGCCGTCCCCTTGCCAAACCCCTTCTTGTGTTTCCACAGCTCTCCTGAGCCTCTCTAAAAGACCCACAATGTTTTCTCAGCACATCAGCCTCTGGAAGAAGAGTCTGAAGGAGCAAGGCCAGGGCAGGACCTGAGTCCCTGATCCCCGAGCCTCTTCTGGCTCCACTCCCGGAGCACTCAGCATCCTGCACAACACATCTCCTGGTGAGCATTCCCAGCACACTTCCACAGAGGGGCTGTCCCTCCAAGGAGGCAACTGTTGGCTCCCCAACATCGGTCTCCACCCGCCGAGCCACCCTGACATTTTGTTCTGCCGTCTCCTCCTTTGACCTGCTCTGAAATAGTTTTCCGGGGAATAGATTTGCACGTTGCATGTACAAACAGATATGAATGTTGATAGTTTACATAGTTCCACGGAGATGCTGAGAATAGCAGCCCCCATATAAAGTTATGCAGATGGTGATTCATAAGGTCTACTAAGCATTACTCAGAAAAACGCTCTTTTCTAACAACACGAGAAAAGAAAAGAGTTTTGAACCTCTCCCACTGGTATCAAGTAGAAATCCACCTCCAGACCCATCCCTCCATGGCACTTACGGACTGTCCTTCCACGCGGGGCTGGAGAGCTTTAGTCACGGACGAGGAGCGCCGGCAAGAGATGCACCATAGAGTGAGCATGTCATTAGGGAGATCCCTTCCTGCCTCTATCCAAATTTGCTTTTTTTTTTTGTTATTGCTATTAGTGAGGGTTTGGTCTCCATCCAAAGCAAAGTAACAGTGACACTTTGGAAGAGCATCCGAGACATCTGGTGCGCTCAGCCTCCCGAGGCGGGTTCGGACAGAGGGAAGCACATGCCTCCCCCCCACCCTGTGTCCCCGGCCAGGCTTTGGGGCGAAGCCTGAGCATCGTTCCCTCTAAGGTGGCCGATCCCGGCGGCACCCCCAGGGCTCTCTTCCCGCCGCGGCCGGTGCCCGCACCTCCTCTCCCCTGCGGCACAGCGCCCAGCCGGGGGTGCCGTGTCCCCCCAAGCCCCCCGCCCCGTGCCGTACTCACCGCCGCGCCAGCCCCGCTCCGGCCGAGCGGCGGCTCCGCCGAGCGCGGCCCGCGGGGCGGGCGGGGCCGGGGGCGGGCGGGGGGCGGTGGCGGCTCGGGGCGGGCAGGGACCGGCGCTCCTTCCCGGCACGGCACGGCCCGGAGGGGCGGGCAGTTCCGGCTCACCTCAGCGCCGTCCCGCTCCCGTCCCGTCCTATCCCTTCCTATCCCGTCCCGTCCCGTCGGTGCGCGGGGCTCCCGAGAGCTCCGGGTTTCCCCTGTGGCTGGGACACCGTCCTGCCCTGTGGAAGACACTGCCCCACGGAGTGGGGAGCTGTCCTATGGGTGGGAAACCCGCGCTGCAGCACAGGAGGATCTCTGCCCCAAGCTTGCTTTGTGGCCACTTTAGTTCTCCTCACCTCTCTGTCAAATGCCAGTGTTGTCCCTTTCCCCCGTTCGTGGAATGGTTTGGGTTGTGCGGGACCTTTAAAGGCGACCTAGTTCAACGTCCCTGCAATGACCAGGGATTCTTTCAGCTAAATCGGGCTGCTCAGAGCCCTGTCCCACCTGGCCTTGAATTTTTCAGGGATGGGGCATCCATCACCTTTCTGGGCAACCTGTGCCAGTGTGTCACCAACTTCACTGTAAAAAAATTTCTTCCTTATATCTAATCTAAATAAACCCTCTTTAGTTTAAAACCATTACCCTGCAGCACTCATGAGGACACCTGGATATTAAACAAGCTGAGGGTGCTCTGATCTGAGTTTCAGGATGGTTGGTATGATGGCATCTGGATTCACGCACAATTCCTCATCACAGAGCTGGAGGGAGATTTGATCAAGAGCTGCCATGCCATGCTGTGCTACGAATGTGCATCTCACAGATCCATCACACTGCTCTTGGGCTGCAGCTGAGCACTGCTGACAGACAAAGCCATTTCTATGGATACCCTTGGCTGCTTGCAGCTCCTCACCTCGCTGGCTCAAAACCAGCTCAGGGTTTACCCACACAGGCTGCAGGGACTGATGCAAAGCCCTGTTGTGGAATTCATATCAGCTTCATACATGCTTAGAAGCCATTCAGCCCAGCTGAGAAAATGTGGCTGTACAGTCTCATTTACCTGCAGACACTGTGGAGTTATACAAATGGTAAACTGAGGCACGAGGAGGGCTGGTTCACATAGGGCTGACCTTGAAGCAGGTTGGGTCTCCACCACAGAGGAACATGGGACAGGGATCCCCAAGGCCAGCACCCCAGTGTGGCCTCAGCCCCCGGGATGGATGCAGCAAGGTTCTCGAGCCTCACGGTGCAATCCCTGACAATAAATCCCAGATGTCCTCCAAATACCATGTTTTTTCGCTCCTTGACAGGATGGAGTTTGGCCCCAGGATCCCAAAAATTAATATCTTGGCTTTTCTGTTGCAGACGTCATTGCTGAGAGCTCACATCACCATCCATGAATGACGTGGGCACTGTGAATCACCAGTTCCCCTGCTGAAGGACAATGAGGCACTTTCTTCTGCTCATTACCTGCTCAGATATTATATTTAACTGAAATTTGATTGTCAAAAAGCTTCTGAAGCACTTCAAGGTGGTGTTTGTGCACGACTGTGCTATTCCCAGCACAGGGCTGCAGAGAAGGAGGTGGCTCTGTGCAAACACACTGGTCCTACAGCCCCACAACCATCTGCAACCTCCTGCCTTCCCCAGAGATCTGGCCTACAGGCAGCCACAAACCCATGACAAATATTTCACCACAAGGTAGAGGTTGGAAGTGCTGAGTGGCGCCAGCATGTCTGTCTGCTTAACAACACCTTGGCCAAACTGCATTTTCCCTCTCCAAGAACTTTCCTGCTGGTGGACAAGGTGCTGCAAAACATCACAGGGCACAGTCAAAGGGCTTCTCCAGAATAAAGGCAGAATATCTAAGTGCAAAATATGTAAAACATCCCATGCACGGTGAAACCACAGCGGGGAAAACAGGGAGATATAAAAGACAGTTACAGCCTCTGCAAGAACAGGAACAAAGGAGGAACAGGGAAAGAGATTGTTCCAGTAATTGCCTCCCCCAGGTAAGGATGCTGAGCCTGAGCAACGCTGCTGGCACAAAAAATGTGCTGCTTTTTGATTCACTGTTCACATAATTTTGCTGCTGCAGCAAATCACATGTAAAATAGTGTATTTCAATGTATAATCAGGATAAATAAGTCAGATTCTTCAATACCTCTGTGTGTGTGTGTGTGTGTGTACGTGTGTGTGTGCACATGCATGCACTGTCTGACCTGTCACTACAAGGTGGTTGATACCAAGAGCACCAAGTCAAGAATGAATTTGGATCCAAAGAAGAGGAGCCCAGAGTCCTTGCCAGAGCCCTTATACCTGGGACCTGGGCCAGGTTGAAGGTCTCCATCAGTGACCTGGTACACAGGCCACTCTCCTTGTGCCCAGCTGCCTCCAGCAAGCACCTCTCATCATGCCCCCTGTGACAGGGTCATTAAAGAGTCACTGATGAGGCTTTATGGGACATGCCTCTGCAGGCATAAGGTGCCCATGTTGTCCAAATCCATAGAGAAGCCATTCCCAGGGGCTAGCACATCTAGTATTTCCCTTAACATGGGCCATAGGGCACAGCAGAGGTGGGAGCAGCCGTCACGCTGAATAGGGGCTGCAGCACATATAGCCATGAGGATGTGCAGATGGGAAGGAGTTCCTGTATCCAGCACACATAAAGCAAGCGAGAAAACTCCTGCTGTTTATCTTTGCCTTAATTTGCATCTCCTTAAAATGCCTAATTAGTTGTGCTGTTTAATATACTGGCTCAGGCACTCCTACCTAATCCAGTCAGCAAATCTAGGCTTTGAACATATTTGTCCTGCATCTTCAATGATGCAATGTTCAACGATGTCCTTTGGCTTGTTTGGGGTTGAACCTGCAACTGGCTATAGATGTCTCTTTGGTAGTTCTGCTATATGGACAGAAAGAGGGCTTGAGACCGCTTTGTGCTCTCCAGCAGGAAAAGCTGAGCATTTGGATGTGAAAGGGGATCATGCTTCTGACCACAAAGTGATGTGGGGTTTTTTGGCTGATTCACCTAGAAGTACTCCTTCTCCATACAGCTATGCTTTTACCCTGAGACTTTATCAACTGCAGAAGCCCTTTTTGTATATAATGTATCTTGTTATTTAGTTCCAATGGTTTTTGCTGGGTTTGAATTATAACAGAAGAACAACAGATGTATGAAGTGTCTTAATATCAGTTTCTGAAGTGTTTTTTGCACTAGCTATGTCCATTGTCTAGAAAACCCCTGGACCCAAAACCTCTGGGTGTTTTAAAGCTTAAATGTTTGCTAACCTGACTGTAACAATATGCCAGCCAGCAGTCTGTAAAGCTGCACTGTGATGAGGAACAGAACTGTGGTGGAATGTCTTGGAAAGGGATTTGGAAAGTACCAGCAGCATCATCCACAGAGGGCTTTATGGACAAGTAATGTCCTCAAATTCCTTCTGTTCTTCATCTGGAACTTGTGTTAGTACAGGAGTACGAGGCTGAGGCGCCACCTCCAGTTGGGGTTGTTGTGTAGATAAATGGGTATGATAAAGCTTTGGGTCTCCTGTAAAGGGAATTTCTGTGTTGCAAATGGGGACAGAAAGAGCTTCCTTGATGCTTTCCAACAAAACCTGCAAAGGATTTGAAATTCACCTAACAAGGGGTTAGGGAAGGAAAGAGTTAAATCCTGATGCCTCGGCTCAATCTTTAGTCAGACAAAACTTTTCCTGAACTCCTGGAGATTTTTGCTTAAGGGAAGCCCCATGTCTGAACTTCTTTTTTAGGGAAGAGGCACCAGAGTTGTGCTAATGTGGATAACCCACCACCCAGCCTGTTTTACATGCTGCAGCTGCTGCAGCTCTGCTAGAGTGAGCTGACATTTGGCTCGTGGTGAAGAAACATCCATTTCCAGCCCTGTAAGCTCCTCAGTCAAGCTTGATGCGAGTGCATCTATCACACCTGAGCAGAGAGACCTATGGAAGATCTGCAAACCTTGAAAAGCTTCTGTTGGAAGCATGACAGTCTGGGGAGACATACAAGGTATGGCTGAGAGGAAGGAGTGCCACGAATGAGCGTTTTAAGGTCGCTTAAAGAATCAACTGCAAAGGTATCAGCAAAAGCAGATTTATTATGAAAAAAGAAAGCACAACAGAGTTCATTGGCAAGGTTCACTCCACTACTTACTAGATGGTTAAAGCACACCTAGAAAAAGCAAACAAATAATCCAGAGTCAGTCAACTCAAACCAAAATAAACCCAAAATTATCTATGTGGAAGCTGGACTGAGGGGTGAGGGAGAGACAAAAGGATAGGAAAAGGTAAGGAGAAAAAGAAATACATCCTAAAGGCCCAACAGCACTTAACTTAAAGTTAATAGCACTTAATAGCATTTAACTTAACAGCATTTAAACTTAACAGCACTTAAATTTAACAGCATTTAATTTAACCAATAACCGAAGTTTAACAATTTCATATAGAATTTACTATACCACAATAGTAACTTACTTACAAATCTAAAGTACTTAAGAATCTAGGAGAGCAACATTCCTAGTACATTTGAAACAGCATATGCACATTTGCATGCATACAGACATGAAGAGTCTGTACAAGGTACCTGTGAAAAATTCCCCTCAAATTCAGTGAAATGGATGCCATTCACTTTGGATGCTGTTGCATCTTCTCAGTGGCAAAGGGTTGAGCCTCAAGAAGTGTAGGGTAACAGCTCAGGCTCTGTCGTTGACATTTGGTGATCCATGTATAACAAAGTTGGGAATTTGCCGGCTCTGGGAGGCCCCACTCAGAAGGAGATGCTGGTCACAGCTGATGAAGTCTAGGAGAGCTCAGAGGGTCTCACTTTGGACTGTTGTTTATAGGGTCACAAGA